GCATGAGACATTTTGCCCAGTTCCAAGTCGGAACTGGATATCCGAGACAGGCACACAGCACTACATGTAGTGACGCTCAAGTTGCAGGTTGGTCGCATAGGCCTCAACTTTGGCCACGGCGGTCCATCACTACCCTGAGAAGGTTTCTTAACTGGAGCAACCAAGCTCAAGTTACTTAAACTTACTTCGGTGCCGCCAATCAGAATTTTGCCAACAGTGAGCTTACTTGCGGGTTGCGCCACCGCTGCATTTGCAGCCGACTTTGTGTCAGGATGAACTTGCGTCTTGGCTTGGACCTTCTACCAAAAGTATGGAAACTAGCGTTATTGTCGTAAGCTCGCAATGATACGTCGGCGTATTATTGGTGGTTAGTCAAGGTGAAGTTGAAAACTAACCTTTTTACACTCTCGGTATTCTACAGCCTAGCCATGGTCCCTTGAAGTCCAGTCCAAGGGCTGTCTGCAGTCACATAGTTGCATGTACTTGAAAGCATCAGAGTTGAGTGATTTTACAAAATTTCGCTCAGTTTGTCAAAACAAATGATGCACGGCGGAAGGCTATACGATGTTGCATTTGGTGACAGATGATGCTCTGAAGACAGATAGCCGATATGGTACATAAAGTACCCAAGACACCGCGCCGATGTTGATCGTGTCTAACCCACAAGATTGGGAAAGTTTCTCTTGCATCCTACATCCATGTTTCTTAGACGGGGATCAACGCTTCAACTTCGATTTCAACCTGCATCCCTTCCAATCCAAGCTTGCCAATTTGGATGCACGTCCAGATAGGTCTATGATTCGGGAACAGTTTCTTGAACGTCGTCGTCATGACGTCGAAACTCGAGTCCATATCAAGATGATAGGAGCGAATCGCGTAAATGTCTTTGAAGTTGAGGCGTGGGTGAACGGCTTGAAGAGCTTTGAGAGCATTCTCGAACGCAATAGCGATCTGCTTTTCGAGGTCGGTTATGATATTCCCTTTCTCGTCCCAGCCGCCCTGACCTGATGTGCGAACGACGTTTCCGATCTTTACAGCTTGGGAGTAGTGGTATTGCTCCGCGTTGGACTCAGTCCCTGGATAGTTGAAAAATTGGGCAGAAGCCATATTTGGGACTGTAGAGGATTGTGGTAGGCTCAACCTGGTGTGCTTGAAAGAATCTAGAAGCAGTATTGATGCATAAGATTCGTTAGACGGGCAACAGTACCATAGTTAAGCTAATTATCTACGCGAAAGGCAGTTGAGAAGGGCAGCCAAGAGGCTCAAGTAGTTTGCATGCAGCTAGTGCGGGGGGTCTGTATGGTGAAGTAATGCCAAGCTCGTACCGCTCTAGTATTGCAGGATATGCTCTCGGGTTGCCGCTTTCAGATGACCTGTCTTACTCCTTAATCGAGAAACCAAGTGAATCAACGATGAGGGCTGGCTTGAGTGGTGTTCCACAACATAAGTCTCGAGTTGGTCCATCTTGTTACCCCTTTGGGAAGGATGTTGCTCGTAAAATGGAGGGGACGGCTAGATTTCCAGTTTAACGTGATAATGAATCAATTCTTCCTATCTACCTTAGAAGCCCTCACACAACTCGGCTGAACTACTGCCCGAAGTGCGATGGCTTGCACTCGTATTCGTGTCTCGCCAAATCGGAGAACCAAGATTATGTCCTTGGCTTGCCTCATGAGTAGCACTAGAACGAAGGGATCCTCTATGAGACTTGGTCGCCGTGATTTTCAAAATGCTTGGGTGTAGGGTAGAAATGTCAAAGACAAAAATGTATGCGGGCGATCCAAGTGTACTGGGTGGCCTACAAGGATTCAGCTGCGCGGTATTTAGCGCTGACAAGTATCACATGTATAGAATAAGCTTAAGCCTAGGTGTAACTGCATGTAGGTTTTCATAACACAAACGCAGTGTGGTTAAAAGACCTCCTTTACACGTGTGGAAAGAGCGAGAATTATTGCATCAAACTCTCTGTAAGACGTAGCTAATTTTTATGTAAAGACTCAGTGTCCTGAAAGGCTATGCTTTTCTACCATGTCCCAGTAATGAGGCGCCGCCATGCGTCGCAACGGTTTCCCTAAGTACATCATGACCAGACACAGTGCCCAGAATGTCACTCCAAGAACAGCTGTGACTATGAAGGCATCGCGAAGACCAATGCTATTGATCATCGGCACTACAGCATAGCTGAAAGCGAAGCCTGGGTATGGTTAGCTTTAAATCTGACGCCGAGAGGAATGACGGCGTCAACTTACCCATCGTGTTGCGAATAAGGATAGCTGACACGAAGCCCTCGCCCGCGAGGTCCTTGAAGCTGTCGAGGATATATGTGAACGCCATGCTGGTTCCCAGAGGGAGAGTGACAGAGATCAAGGCCAGCCCGAAAGCAATACCGACCCAGTGGATTTGGTATGAAGCCCCCACGCCGTATAGGATGCAACCGACAGGGTGGGCCACAATAGCCAGGAAGCATAACCAAAGACGATGCTCTGGTTCCATTACTCCTCCATGTCGGCGGGCCATCCACACTGACAAAGTATCGCTCGCCAAGCTTGATATCAGACATCCGATCGATACTCCAATCACCGAAGCAAGGTAAAAGAGGCCGATAACGTTGGAGCCAAAGTTATATGGTGGGTTGCCGAGAATGAGAGCCAGAGACCCGCCAACTACGTTATACCACGAGAGAATACCTCCAACCAGAATACCGGCGAAAATGACGGAAGGGAATCGAAGGAGGTAAAAAGGCAACAGAGACTGCTTCAGCTGTCTTGGTTTTCTGTCGTCTTGATATCCCCATAGCTTGAATTTCGACCAGAAAGCTTTTTCGGGTGCTACATTGACGCGGTTCGGTATAGTGCGTGTCTCGATTTCAGAATTGACACTGGCTGCACCTTCCGCAGGCTGAGGCTTCTGGTCTTCGGTCCGCTCGGTATCGATTGCGCTCTTGTCGCTATCAAAGAGCCCCCGCTGCTGATCGGTGATGCCACCAACATCGGCTTGTGAACTAGGTCTGCAGAACATGGTCTCTTCGAAGAAGATAAATGTCAGAATGGTTATTACGCCACCTGTAATGGATAGGATGTACTGGATCCAACGCCAACCCAGGTCTTCGGCGATGAATCCTGTAGCGACTGGGCAGAGGAAGGCACCACACCACAACATCCAACTGTAGATACCCATGTAGAAGCCTCGTTGGTGGACGAAATACAGGTCGTCAATTATGACTTCGATCAGTGTCTCCATTGGCGAAGAGACAATGCCAATGATGATGCGATTAACAAAGAACTCGGCTCGAGACTTGACGTAGGCAGTCCAGAGACTGATAAAGGTCATCGCGACCATCGAATAAACGAGAGTCGGGCGCCTTCCGTAGTTGAGCGCGAAGTTCTGGGTGAGCAGAGTGCCCCAACCGAGGAAGAGGAACATGAGGCCATTGCCAGTGCTAAGGTCTGCTACAGAAATGCCGGTGTCTGCTTCGATTTGCAGGTAGGCGGGAGACAGGCCGGATATGATTGCAGCGCCGAAGAAGCACCATGTCATGACCCAGGAGATGTTGAACGTCTTGCGCTTTCGCGTCCATGATAGCGGATCGTTCGGGTCGCTGCTCGGTTGTGGAACAAGAACGATGTTGGTGTGCTCCGAGCCATGCTTCACGTCGAGGACGCCTTGTGTGTCGACTAGCTGCACCGTGCCCGGAATATCGAACGTGATTGTCGTGTTTGTCATGATGGTTGCTGGCACGGCCCATACGGGAGACCATCAAGAGCCCCAGCGGTGGCTCGACAATGATATACCAACCGACCAAAATTCTGCTCTTCTTCCATCGACTAAAAATTCTACACTACCACCTCCTTTTCTGCCGATTCAACGCCAACGAGGCGGACTGGTAGACCATTAAACTGATGCATGGACCATCGGGCCCTTTTCCAAACTCTGAGGCCTCATCCATGCCGGCGCTAAACCGTACGAGGGTAGGAGATGGTCCAGCACTGCTAAGCCAGCCCCTCGAAGCATGTGTTAGGCGTAAATTAGTTGGCTGCGAATGCCACCTTTCTAGGCAGTCTTATCAATGCGGTATCTAAGTTCTGGAGATTTACTGCCCAACGAGGCCGTGCACGCGCGAGGATTTCTGCGTCCGATGCAACGTGAAGACACAAGCCGGCCCCGCGATGATTCGCTTCCGGACGTTTGGCCGTGGGGGGAATGCCTCCACTTGAACCCGGAGACGCGGTAAGACGTGCATCTTTAGATAATGCAGGTCCATTGGTGGATTCGACGTGCACTGAATGAGGTTGCAGATCTGGATGCCAAAGAAGTGGTCCAACATGTTTCCGAATTTGGCCACGCCTATCTAGCAGAGTCGCCCGGTTTGATAAGACGAGATAACCCCATGGACAGGGAATCAATGTCTGCAATCTCTAGGTTAGGTATGATGTAGTTGGACGGGAAAACGTGCATCACGCGATTGTTATACGGGCATGGCATGGATTATTGCGGCTTCGAAGTGCGCGTGACATTTGATACGACCCAGGTGCGAGACCATTGGTGCGATGGAAATATTGAAATCAAACATTCATGCCGGTGATACGTATGAGTACAACATGAGGTTCCGATACATACTTACGTGGCAGTCAACATAGGTATCTATCACCAATGATTGATTTCTGCGAAGAACGAAGAGACAACCACTTTGATATGAGTCTCCAGTCTCCTTGATTGACAGTCACACTCATAAACGGTATCGGTGCGGATAGTAAACTTTGATATTTTGATATTTGACAGACTTGGCAACTTCAATCAGGTTATAACTCCAGCAGCGGTCTATTTGTGAGGAGAATCTTCTCCCCATATTATTGCAAGTAATCATGTAAAACTGCCCCGTTCTTGTTAAATAACCGTTATCAACATTGAAACCTCCCTATCTTTTCTAAGGCTCTCAATCTGTCAAAACATAGGCTTATCCGCGGGATCAAGCTTAAACAAAACGTGTGGTATCCGAAGTCTCAATCCACATCAATCACAACCTTCAAAGCACCATGTTTAGACGCTTCTCCGAAGGTATCATATGCCTTCTCCATGTCACCAAGCTTGAAGTCTGAAGCTCCTGTCAGTCATGTTCTCATGGAATGTTGCACCGTCTTAAAAAGAGATTCTTACGGTGAGTAATAAGTTGCGAGGGTTGCAATTTGCCAGACTGTACAAGCTTCAAAAGCATTGGTGTCGTTGTTGTGTCCACAAGTCTAGTGGTGATTGCTGTATGATGAATTAGAATTGGCGTCGACGTTTTCGATCACCCAACAGCTCGACGTCTTGAACTCACAGATATTCTTGTCCCAAAGATTTTGGAGGTGAAGGTCAACCTTTGTTCCATGAACTCCCACATTCGCTAGAACACCACCAGGTGCGAGCAGGCTCTGACAGAGATCAAAGGTGGCGGGAATTCCCACCGCTTCAATGACCGAGTCAGCGCCCTTGCCCTCCGTCAACTCTTTGACTTTGGCTGCAGCATCTGCCTTGGAGCTATCAATAGTCTCGGTTGCGCCAAATTGCCTTGCAACATCAAGTCGCTTGGGATCCATATCGATGGCAATGATTTGAGACGGGGAGTACATCTGAGCCGTGATAATAGCCGCCAGACCGATCGGACCTGAGCCGACAATAGCGACGGTACCGCCCGGCTGTACCTTCCCATTCAGCACACCACATTCGAGTCCTGTCGGGAAGATGTCGCTTAACATCACCAGTGAGGAGTCATCGGCGCCGTCCGGGATCGGGTGAAGATTGGATTCGGCGTGGGGAATGCGGACATATTCGGCCTGGGTGCCGTCAATGGTATTCCCGAGGATCCACCCACCGGACGTGCAATGACTGTACATGCCCCGGCGGCAGTACTCACACGTAGCGCAGCTGGAGATGCATGAGATGAGGACTCGGTCTCCTTCCTTGAATCTTGTGACCGAAGCTCCCGCTGAGTGGATGATACCTACACCTTCGTGACCCAACGTGGTGCCTGGCTGGCATGTCGCTACGTCGCCCTTGCGAATGTGGAGGTCAGTGCCGCAAATGGTTGTCTTTGTGACTTTGACTATGACATCGGTTGGCTTCGAGATAGTGGGGAGAGGTTTATCCTTCAATGACACTGAGTTTGAACCGTCGTAGACGAGGGCCTTCATCGTTGACAAATGCCTCATCAACAGCGAGCCGGCAGGGCTCAAGTTTGTACGAGTGAAGGCTGGGGAAATGCAAGTCGCTCGGCTCGAAGCTGCCAGTGCAGGCAATATTGATCTTGAAGCTCGAAACAAAAAGGATCTTGCAGCTCGTGAAGTTGCAGCCATAATGCAAGGTATTCTTCAATTACTGGCGATTCAGAATGACAGTAGTGAATTATATAACATTCCAGGACAAATAGGTATAAGGCAATCATACAATGACGGAGTTGGATGTCAGCTCGGTAAATATCATTGGCAGACGGTCCCGAGGCTCTGGACTGGGAATAGTCAGATCATATGAGTGACAAGCAGGCTGTGAGCTTATGGGCTGACGTTCCGTGACGTCTGGGGTTGATGTGGGGATATTGCCTGCAGAAGAGGGGAAGCACCTGATTCTAGGTCTGTGGTTCGTCTCGGCAAGCACGGGAACCAGGACCAACTTCACGGAAAGCCTGTTAAATGCAAGAGTATTCCCCCGCAATCGGCTAACTGGACATCTTCGCTGATCATGGGGGACGATGTTCCCTTGTTGTTGCGTTGGGGACAAGGTACAACATCAGGAGTTGCGGTTCCGCAGAGCCCATGCGGTTCCGCTCTGGACGAGTCATTGCCCTGTCATTCCCCAAAAGGCACAGCTTCAATTTATTCCAACGTGATCAGCGCACCACAGTATAGGATGTCGAACAAAGAGGCCCGAGTCTCGGGCTTCTCATTGATAAAGGCAACCTGCAGAGAGATATCTGAGGCTCGTGGCGTTAAGATACCTTCGATTCCTAGCTGTTTCGTTACTTAGACGTCGAGACTCCGGCAGGTCCTGTATCATCACGCAAACAAGTCAATTGCTACTGCGGTCCATCATAGACTGACTTATACTTCTAGAGCTGTGAAAGCATCACTCGTGAATATCGAGGAGAGGCCGTAGTAGCGCTATGGCTAGTGTAAACGTCCGCTCAGCATGAGTCAGAGAATTTGGTCTCATACGGCCTTTTGTGTGTGGAGGTCTATATCTAATGCAGGCGGAATGACCATTCTGCTATTCTAGTCCACAACAAGACCGATGAGTCTATCCAGCATCCCAGGATTCTGGGTCTTCATCTTCACTTGCGGGGAGCTGCCTTTGTGAGCCATTCCCGAACCCTCTCTGATGCCAGACGAGGAACACCATCGTACTTCTTGTCTTCATATGTCGCGTCGATATCTTTCGCCAGGCGCTGCGCCTTGGCAATGGTAATCCTCTTCGCGTTGGTCCAGTGCGTCGTCGAAACAAAGTCATCCGCGTCGTTGACCAGCATTTGGCGCTTTTGGCGCAACTTGGCGTCGTCGGTCTTCTCACCAGCGCAAAGAGCGCAGTTGCACTCGAAGCCCCACGTCGTCATAAGAGCCTGCTGTCTCGCCTCGTAGTTGCTCGACTCATCGTAGCTGTGGAAGATTTCCTCGCCCTTGGCAATTGGTTGTAACGCGCGGAGGACCATTAGATCGCCGACGTAGTCCTTCTTGGCGTTGGCAATGCAGGAATGATTGATGTAAGCCGCCCAGACCCAGAGACCGGTGCTTGCGCTCCTCGCGCCCTCCTCTCCGTACTGGCCGCCGGGCCCAAAAGCGTTACGAGAGACGATATCGTGGATCCGGAAGACGTCGACCACCGGGCCCTCTGAGGTCTCTGACGTGGCTTTACCCTCGCCCTGGTAATCTCCGTAAAGATCCAGCACCTTGGCGATTTGCGAAGGATTCCTAAGGAGCTTCTGAGAGATGGCCTTAGTTAGGCCGACGGGTGCCACCCTAATCTTGTCGTCGCGGACATCGTAGGTCATTGCGGTCAGAACCTCGCTCTCATGACCCCAGACCACACAGAAAGCCTTCTCAACCATGACTATCCCTCCAGCGGCAATATCGCAAGTGGCGAACAAGCCTCGGCCTCGCCCTTTGCTATCCTTGACCTCAGTCTTCGCAGTGAAGGTTGCCGCGTCGGCCCGTGGTGAGACTCTCGTGAGATTAGCCCTGATCTTCTGCAGGTCATACGACCCCTTTTCCTGTTCGCGAAGCCGCATCTCCACCTTGCGCAGATACACTGCCGCACCTCTTTCCGCGGGTGCGAGTTCGTGAGCCTTTTCGAAGTACTGCTTGGCCTCTTCAAATTGGCCCAGGTTGTAAGCGCCGCTGCCGGCGCGGAAGTAGGCTTTGCTGTCGAGTTCCTTAGACTTCTGATCGTCGGCGCCAATGAGAGAGGCCTTAGCGTCAGCGATGGCTTCGTCTTGTCGGTCCATAAGCAGATGCGCGTGAGCTCGGTTCCGTGCAATGTCTCTTGCGATGTCCGGGTTCGTCTTTTGGACGGGCTCTTGCCTGGCAACCTTGAGTCCTTGGCTGTAACTTGTCCGAGTAAGAGGGAGGTCCTTCTTTTGCAGTGCCGCGTTACCCTTGTCCTTGCACTTCTTTGCAATCTCATCCCCCTTGGTTCCATCCTCGACCTCGCTCAAGCTGCCTTTCACGATCTCCTCTCTAATGATGACGAGATCGGAGGGGTGGTCGATCCGCAGGGTAGCCTCGCCCTCTTCCGTCAGCGTGAAGTACGGCTCCTTGATGATGAAGCGCCGTGCCGACTCAAGGGTGTCTTCGCCATCTGTTGTCTTATGCAGGACCATCTCCAAACGTTCCGTCTCCTTCTCTTCCTCATCTTGGACAACAGTCCATGACCGGGCGGCAAGAGCCACCACCGGACAGCGCCTCGCACGCTGCACTGTCAAAGAACGCCCACGGTGATGAGCCTCTAGTGTGAGTTCCGAAAATTTCATAGGCTTGAGTTCATCCAGGGATACGGTGCTTGGTGGATATGCCTGACCAACACCAAGAGCTGGGATTGTGTCCTTCTGACCCTGTCCACTCATTTGACCCATGTCCATCATGAGTGATGTACCAGTCGCCTGGCTGACAGTAGCGTGAGCATCTCGAAACTCTCTGGCGTTGCCCTTTTGTGTTGAGCATTTCTTCTGTGTCTCTTGTACAGTGGTCCGAATCCGCTGGGCCTCTTCTTCGGTCAGTAAGACAGTGTTCCCGCCGTTCTGATGCGCCATTTTGGAGTACTGCTGGTGGTGCACGGTCTTCGCGTGAATGAGATTTTGACAACTGCTAGGCGACACCGAAAAAAGCTGCTAGATAGAGGCGGCTATGCTCTTGGTCGTAGAGAGACGGAAAAACTAGAGGTGCCGGAGCCAACGAGGCCGTGAACTTAGATCAAGTTCTGTGTGCAGTTGTTCCGAGCAAGCTTTAGGGTTCGATCTGCATGACAAAATTTACGCATGCCACCGCAGTTGTTCCCACCGAAAAACTCAGAAACTAGTCAATTCGCCCAATGGTTTGGCACTTCCACGGACCTTTCCTGCATCATGCTGCCCACTCATACCCCACCATTCTCAGCGACGTCAGTGTCACCGGGATATCCTGAATACTAGAGTTAACGTGATGAGAGGTTGACAAGATTCATTGTTTTTTCCCCCAACACTGATAATGTCATTCCCAAACACAACCACTTAATAAGCCATAGAGACAAGCCCACGGTATCCTCCCGAGCAATGTTCCAAGAGGAGTACTCGTCCCTGGCATTGTGACTTATCGCGGCGCATCCTGTCAATGGTCCTTTCTGGGGTGCTAAGATGTTGAACCGCCAAGTCTTTGAGGTCCAACACTCGATAGCCACTACCGTATTACTCCCAAGGTAGAACAAACGTGAAGGGACCGAGTTTCTTCTTGAACCGGCTATCCAATTTAACCAAATTAGGTGCCCTTGTTAGGTAAATGCATTCATCATGGCAGTCGAACACGGACTACGCAGGCGCTTGGGAATCTACGCTTGTTCCTGCAACTTCTACCCTTGGAACAACCTATCAAATTCTCCCATCGTCATCCGCCAAATCATGAACGACTGGGCCTGCAAAATGGCAATTTTACACTCGTCCGATATCTCTCTCGTTACAGAGGTGCTTTGCCGCAGCACGATTTTGATGAGACTGTCGCTCAAAGTGCCCGAGGAATCCAGGTAGAAGTCGGTGGGATGAGGAGGTTACTACTCTAGAAGTCACCAGAGTCGTGCCTCGTTGTAACTCAATCCCGCGGAAAAATGCAAATTTCAACTTCAAGATTCCTTGCATTGATATCACTGCGCGAAGGGGTACTGCGATTTTAACACTACCCGCAATACTTCTGGTGACATGCAATTTCCACTCGATTTAAAAAAAAAAAAAAAAAAAAAAAAGAAGGAAAAAAAAAAGCCGACACCCTCGGGAGCCGTCTTGTGATAAAGAACCCTCCAGGCTTTCTGCTGACTTGCATGCGTTCACATGCATAAGCATACTCGCGAGGATTCTTGGGGCACCTAGTCTGTACGATCGTTGAATTTGACCCATGCTGGATTAAGTACCATTGGAGCTCGTGGGCTTTGCCAGGATGGCTCAGGTCGGCGTCCCACCATCGTCATACCCATCTACCTTATCTCAATCGAAGCCACCAGACATCAGCATCCGCCACATGGCCAATTGTTCTTTCAGGCCCAATTATTACCTAAAGATTGTGCCTGGCATTCGGCTTGATTGGTTCTAGGAAAAGTTCACCTACGCGCATGGGTGTTTACCAAAGTCCCTCATCTTTGGAAGTAGGTCAGAAAATGGCTGATTTGGCTTGAGGGCCTCGGTACCGTAGCTTATGCAGGTACGGACACAGCTCCGCTTCAAGTCCAATCCCTGGCAAGAATTGAGGCCAATCCTGACGGTCTCGGCCAAAATTAGCTGCCAATCCAATTCATGCCGTCTTCTTTCCCATTCTTCGTTGGTGTAACACAGCCTGTGGCACTCACCCACGCTTTAACTATGGCTTACGGGTGAACAACACGAGCGGCAAAGCATTCTCGTCAATGGCCGTCTGACAACTTACCGTCGCTCGAGATGACAGGGCTGTGCCACATGTATTCAGCCCCCGAAGTTCTCCTCGTGATCTGCCTCACCGCCCGAAGGCCGTGTAAACGCTTGCTTTGTTGGCTGGTAACCTAGGCTGACAGGACCAGGGTGTTCGGTCGAGAGCGGAAATTCATTACGGGGTCAGACAACGGCCAACGGCGCTCTTCGGCCCTATCAAGCGGCTCAGATTTCAACCCGCAATCAGCGCCAAGATGCGCTTTGTAGGCAGCCGGGCGGCACAGTCAGAAGCTTGTCCAGACTAACGTTGTCGGGTACCATTGAGTTAACCTGGAAGGGAAACTGGTTGACTTCGATTTCAGCTTGCCCTAGAAAATTCATTTCCTCGCTGGAGTCATCGGGCAAGGGTACCTTTGGTTGCTTGTAGGCATCAGCCCACGATGAATTGAAACTGTTGCTTGTCTCCTGATGATAAATAGTTGCTCTGTTCCGGTTGCAACTGAATGTCCTCGATCTGTAATTGCATCAATAACCATTTTGTGGACTCTGTCTCTTTCGAATAGCACCTATCAAGCCCAACCCACCTTGAAAATCCTCCTGCTTCGTCCTTGTTACTGAATCAACATGCGCGTTGCTACCGTCATCTTCGGCGCTTTCGCCGCAACTGTTGCTGCTGCCGCCGGCGACGTCCACCTCCAGCTCCATAAGAGAATCGAACCGACCAAGATCATCAAGGTCCTTGAAGCCCGCGGCACCCCCGAGTGTACAAACGCCGTCTACGCATTCGCCAGCGCCGTCACCGGCAGCGACCCCCTCCCCACCCCGAACTTCGCCCTTCAAGAGTGGGCCGCCACCGCGTCCCTTGCCAACGGCACGGTCGACCCTTGCAGCACCATCTCCGTCACGGACTCGATGAGCGCCCAGTACACCTCATGGTCGAACGCCGTCGAGTCATGGCAGACCGCCCATATGTCGGAGATGCGAGCCGTGTGGCATGAGTGCACCGACATCCCCATCATCGCGGCCGAGGTCAAGAGCCTTCTGGCCTCTGGAGGCTACTGCAGCACCAAGCTGGCAGCGCTCACCAGCGAGGGTGGGGCGGGGGCGACTGCCACCAGCAAGGGCGCCGCACCGAGAGAGACTGGAATGGCTGTTGCTGCTGCCGCTGCTGCCGGCTTCGTCTATGCTGCTATGCAGTAACGAGAGCTCAATACTGTTGGTGGATGTTGTCATGGTCTGAATATCCGCGATGCCCTTGGTGTTTGGTGTTGGGAATTGCCGGGATACAACACTTGGAACTTCGCCTGCTAGAATACACACAGTGTATGGAAGGCCTGCGCTTCATGATGCGTCAATGATATTTGATACCAATAAGCTTTTTAATATAATGGTTGTTTCTCGTCATATTCTTCGTCTTGTCACTGTGTTCTACAATGATAGTGCGTAACCATTTAGAGTTCAACATTCATACAGTCCTTGATTTTCTGTGAGATCCACGGCGCTTCGAAATTTCTGCCAAGCTTCTAGAATATGGCCAGGGCATTTGGCGGCGATCCTACAAGACAGGAGACGTTCATAGGCGCAGAGGTCAAGAAGAACGAGTACCTTCCTGTCTTTTGACAGTATGTCGACAGGCGACTGAGATCCCATAGCTCGCCGATGGGCATGCCGAAAAGACTTAAGAAGTAGGGATGGAGAACTGCAGTAAGAGTTAGCCGGGCTCGTTCTGCCATTGTTTCCTTCCAGCTCATCACAATGACGTACCAAGATCAGTCATATCTGCCAAAGTTCCGTTTGGCTTGACAGGTGGAAATGCCTCAAAGGCATTGGAGTCGCCAGCAACAGCGGCAATGTGCTTGTTCCAGAACCACTTGGCCGTCTCTTCTGTGCCATGCACGCCGGATAACTTATACTGCCCCAGCTTTGCAAAATCCTCCGGCGTAGGCTTATCTAGGATCTCAGTGATGCCTGTTCTAAGCAAGAAAATATCGCCCTGCTTGAACTCTACGCCTTGATGCTTGGCTACAGCCTCAATATCTTCGATAGTGATGCGGTAGCCCTCCATGGGATGGTAGTCTATCCCCTTCGCGTCGGCATATGCCTTGTAGTCGATCAAAACCCCGCGTTCCACCACGCCACCCCGCTCATGCCAGTGGTCGATGGTGGGCATCTTGTTTGTCGTTGTGGACGTCGCCGAAAGTTCCTCTTGAGATGGCTTGAAGCCATTGTAGGCGAGTCCCGTCGGCTGATGCTGCCAGTGAACAAGACTGTCCCACTGACTGCTGCCTTGTGTGTTGAACTCTAGCTCGTCGTCCCAGCCAATCCCTTGACTGAGGCCGGCAGTCTGCAGCGTGTGCACCTTATGAACCGATTGCTTGCGTCCAGGGATAGCCAGCTTGTTCATGCTGTCCAGAGGCCAGCTATATAGCGTTGTGTTAGCCTTGGGGCGTTGGCTCTAAGTGACTAGGTAACATGGGCATCTCACTTCAACGAGATGGACACGCCATCTCGTATTTCAGCGCCTGCTGCCTTCACAACTGAAGGGGTGAGCAGGTTTAAGGTCCCGAAGAGGTCTTTCTTTCCATCCTTGTCGAAAACTCCCCAGGCACAGCCCTTGGGCATGCCCTCGACAGGCGGAAGGTCATCGTAGCCAGGAAGATGCAAGTCATCCATTGTGACGGAAGCCATGATCTCAGGATGCTTGAACTTGAGGTCAGCTATGATGAATGGGTGTGTAGGGGATATCTTGAACTCACTTACGGATATTTTTGGCTGAATACGTGAGGTTTCGTTCGATGCAATCGTTCACTGGAGCAAGCGCAAGAGTGAACTGGTCTGGCGATGATGCACCCGCCTGGAGTGTCAAATACCTGGCTTCTCCATAAACCCTCCGTTTCGCTTGAGGGGTAAAGTCAGGGGGTTGAGGTGAACAGGGGGCCACTAGTAATGCGATGGGCATGTACGAAAGTGGGTAGAAATGCCAGTCGGTGGTTAGATCGCGAGCCGTCGATTTTCAGTTGCGTCCAATTTGTATGCACGTTGGATCCAAAGTTCAATTTTTGAACAACGAATACAAGCAGAACATTGCGCGAGACTGTTCACTCTGAGACTGGCACCTTAGTTAAGTGCTTCGCGTACATTCTTACTTACTTACTTATGTACTTCGCCCAGGTTTGTGATGGTCTCTCGGATCACTCAATGAATTGACATCGAGAGGGGTAACGTTTATCTTCATTCTACCGCACTGGTTGGAGCACCTGGTCCATAGCCATGGCTACACTGATCCGCGCCATATGGTTGCAAGAATGGATGAAAACCTGGTCAATCGGTGCTTCAGGTACCGGACTCAAGCTCATGCACAGACTAACTTACATCTGTCGCCAGCATGTGGTCAACATAGGCTCGGCCATCCCATACCCCGCTGCATCAAATTTGAGTTGATGCAAGCTTATTCCTAGCTTTAATACCACATCACTATGAGACTTGAGTCTGAAGACGAGAAGCGCATAAACGTCAACGTCGCCCGTCAGTACTCTCTTTATCTATGCTGTTGCAGGTCAATTATGACACCAGGCGAGCTGGTTGTGGCACACGGCGGTCGCTCCCGCGCAGTCTAGCGGGAAGTACCCGTTCATAGAGTCGTCTGATCGGTTTCGGTCTCGTAGCGGTGGGCCAGTCGCGTTGGAGTCTCGAAACCGAGCGTGCTGCACGGAGCAATGTGCATCGAGTCGTTAGACAATGACACCATGGATACATGATGCAGCAGATGCGCCACTCGCCAGGCCCCAAGCGAGACACGCATGTTCATCTCCAAACTTCTTGAAGTGTCGACCTATAATAGTACTCTTAGCCACGATAACCCACCAAGACATGCAGGTGGTGTTTGAGGCCAGACCACGCGGAGTTTGTTGCATCTGGCTGTCTTTGGACGACAGCTTCTCCGCAACGGTTACCCATGCAGCGGAGCAGGAGCTTAGAAGCTTGGCGGGTCTATGTAGATCCTGAGATCGTTTTAGTCTGGCAAAGGACAAGATCCACCATCAACTACTGCATCATTCTTTAAGCGACGTCGCTATGTTGCACTAGAAATGCGACGAACGAATACGAATACGTTTGTGTCGATCTGGACGCACTGGTCCCTCCAGTAATGGCTCGTCGGGCTCATAGTACTCCCCGACTAGCCATAGAATTAAGCTCCAGTACGATGACCCGCAAACACGCCCCGGCTCAGAAATATCGTGGTAGGCGGGGACGCTTGGCCCTCTTCTAGGGAACCCCAATGGAGTCCAGATGACAAGTGCGAGCATGGAATATGTCAATGGAGCTGTTTGAGGACACCGCTTGGACTGTCCTCAACGGACATGTACCCGCATATTTTGGCGACTAAAAACTAGACGATTCGCCTCCTCGTAGATATGATACAGAGGTCACCAAGCAGAATCACTTACCTCAACTACAACTCTATTCAACCTGCAAGTCAAACGTCAACATGGCTGCACCTCCACAGATCACGACAGACACCGCGGCCGGGGCTGCCGCGGCCGACTTCATGGCTCTCAACAAGAAGTACACAGAGGAGAAAGAGAAACGCCAGCGGTCTGATGGCAACGCGCAGTACATCGAGATGGAGACAGACGCGAAGTTTAGCAAGCTGGCCCAAGATCCATGGGTCGATCATGAGAAGCTCAACGCCCAGACGCCGAGCCTCAAGGATGGCGACGAGATGAAGTTCATCATCCTCGGCGCCGGCTACGGGGGGCTGCTGTTCGCAATTCGATTCATCCAAGCTGGTTTCAAGCCCGAGGATATTCGCCTGGTCGACGCCGCTGGTGGATTTGGCGGCACGTGGTATTGGAATCGTTACCCGGGTCTAATGTGTGACGTTGAATCCTACACCTACATGCCGCTCCTCGAGGAAACGGGCTATGTGCCCAAGCACCGATACTCGTATGGCCACGAGTTGCGGGCTCATGCGGACCGAATGGCAGAGACATGGGACTTGACAGACAAGGGTGTGTTCCGCTCGCAGATCAAGAGTTATGAGTGGGACGAGGATGCTAAGCGATGGATCGTGGTTATCGAGCAGATTCGCGGCCCGAATGAGTCGCCCATCACGATGACGGTTCGATCACAGTTCGTCGTTCTGGCCAACGGTGTTCTGAACCATCCCAAAGCGGCCAAGAACCTCGAGGCATTTGAGGGCGACATGTTCCATACTGCGCGGTGGAACTACGAAGTCACTGGTGGGAACGCGGAGGACCTCGAGAATGTCCAGCTTACTGGCCTTGAGGGAAAACGTGTTGGCATCATTGGTACTGGCGCAACCGCCATTCAGCTCGTTCCACAGCTCGCCAAGTGGGCGAAGGAGCTCTACGTCTTCCAAAGAACGCCATCATCTGTGGAAGAGAGAGGCCAGAGGCCTACTGATCCAGAAGAGTGGAAGAAGATTGCCGACGGCCCTGGCTGGCAGAGGCGTCGCCTTGACAACTTCAATTCACTCGTTTCTGGCGGCGAGGTAGAAGAGGACTTGGTAGATGATGGCTGGACGAAGATTCAGACTTACAAAGGCCTTGTCGGCGCACCACACGAGAAACCTCTTGGATTGGAGGATATCCCCAGCCATATCGGCAGTCTTCTCGCCCTGGATGCCCCGAGATCAGAGAGGATTCGACGTCGAGTTGAGGAAATTGTGAAGAATAAGTCAGTTGCTGAGGCTTTGAAGCCATGGTACCCATCATGGTGCAAGCGACCGACCTTCCATGACGACTACCTCCCGGCGTTCAACCTACCCAACGTACATCTTGTTGATACAAACGGCAAGGGAGTTGACCACGCCACCAAGAATTCACTAGTCGTCGACGGTACAGACTATCCCCTCGATGTCATTGTGCTGAGCACGGGATACAGGCCGCCTGCAGCAGATATGGCCGAGCCATCAAGCAGAGCCAACATGACCATCAAGGGCCGGAACGGCGAGCTCCTATCGGATAAGTGGTCGGGAAAAGGCCCGTCTACTTTCCACGGCGTCCTCACCAACGGTTTTCCAAACCTGTTCCTGACCGGCCCTTTGCAGATCGGCGCCGCGGCAAACTTTGCTTATGCCCAGGACGTCCTTTCTCAACATTGCGCATACATGGTAGTCGAAGCTATGAAGCGCGCGGGGAAAAGCACCGACAAGGTGACTATAGAGAGCTCATTGGCGGGGGAAGAAGCATATGTCGGTTTCATTATGCAGCATGCGGCTTGGTTCTCTAGTTTGTCTATATGCACACCAAGCTATATGAACAATGAGGGCGAAAAGGCCCCACTGGAGGCACAAATGAAGTTGGCCAGAGGAGCGCCGTTTCCACATGGTATCAATGCCTATGTAAAATTCCTGGAGGACTGGCGGGCAGGTGGCTCGATGAGCGGTATTCAAGTCACAGCATAGCAACAAGCTATATTGAAGTGACATGGACGTTTAAACAGAAAGGCTGGAGGATTCAAGTAGATGACATTATTTCAATGCATGTGCAGCCTGTACATAGCCTTTCGTCTAGCTTAGCAGAGATGAGAAGCTGAGGGCGTTTTACTACGCCTTATTTTATAGCAATTGGCCGCCATTATGCTTGTCGGCGTTCTGTTCGTCTTGGAAAGCGTTTGTAGAGCAGCAACAGCAACGAAATCCTGTCGGTCGCGAGTAACAAATAGGCATATGCCCACGTCATAGAGTCAATGGAGGTGACAATCGGGTAGATTCGATTTTTGGTGAAAAGATTTTAGTACGGGAGAGGTCATTTGGATATTTGAATCGACACCAATCCGCAGTTAGTCGGGTGTAGTAAGGTAGTGATAAGACTTGGGTACATAGATACATAATCAAACAACTCGACAGGAAAGAGTGATCACACGTACAGTTTATCTGTCCCCGAGAGATGACTCATTCGATGCTCCAGCTTTCAGAACTTAGGTAACTTTGAGTTTCTGAATTCATTAGCAGACTTGGAGTAATCTGCGGACAGTGATCTATAAATATGTTCCTTTCCTTTAAGTCTTGATTCATCTCCCCCGGTAGTGCTGTTGACATGGTACTGAAGATATTATTCATTGTTGTTCAATATACCAATAACAAAGGCGATACTAAACGTGGACAACCCCCAATTACTTGAATGCCAGAATTCTAGTACAGCACAGCCAGGATACCGATGGCTACCGACAGCCAACTGCCAGGTTGTAGGGCTTGCGAGCCGGCTGTTGGAACGACCACGACTCCTGTGCCTGAAGCCGGACTTCTAGTCGTCGCGGTCTGGCCTGAGCCGCCGTTACCGCCGCCAGAGCCGCCAGAGCCACCACCAGTAGCAGCACCACCACCGCCATTTCCTCCGTTGCCGCCGCCAGAGGCACCGCCGCCGGTAGCACCACCCCCGGTGCCACCTCCGCTACCTCCTCCATTGCCACCACCGTCTCCTCCATTACCACCGCTTCCACCTCCGCTACCTCCCCCACTACCGCCGCTACCTCCACTGCCACCACTTCCACCGCCACCGACAGTTCCAGTGGACGCAGGGGGGTTGCTAGCCCCGCCAGGTACAGTCGCACCCGGCACCATGCCTGAAAGATTATGGTCAGTGGTTGAACGCGAGCCTCGAGATTGGAATATGTCACTCACCACCAGTGGGATTGGCCCCAGGAACGCCCATAGGTACTGTTGGCAGGCCTGTAGGTATGGCAGCGCCCTTAATATTATCAGTGATTGCTAGTAACAGATCTTGGGAACAGGTCAAACTCACGGAGCAATCAACCGTCGACGTCAGGGACATGACCCTGATCTCAGTGGTGACTGCCGCCGTCGAACATGCGTATAGCGCAACGCCTAGCAACATGTGGGTCTTCATTTCGGCGGCAGCTCATTCAGAGGAACTTGAATGTGGTTGTTCAGAGCCCAGTGAAAAAGGATCGGACTAGAGGGCCGATGTGTGTTGAGTTTATATGCCGTGGGAAGGTAAGCAGTCGGAAGATAGACCTCACCGGATCCGTGTAGATGATGTTAGTCTTGTAGAAAGCCGCAAGACAGCTAAGTTCTTGCTCATCATTCAAATATTCCGGAAGAAGATTAAAGAGTTAGCTACTGGGGTAATCGGTGGCGTTGCTGCTGGGAGGATATCGCGTGGGAATTGATCCAGCGTCAGGTGGCTTCAGCCTTTGCAGACCTAGCCATTCCAAGTCTGCGCTCTGGTTTCTTTATCGCGCCATTGAAGATCCGCGAGGCTGTCCGCTTGCGTCTTTGACTGATTATGAAATCTCAAGGTGAATGGGCCGTCAAGGTTTAGTGATGGAGATGTACTTGGTAATGAAGTATCCTGTACCTGTTCTTGTAGACCATGCCACGAAGTCGGTGAAAGTCCGTTCGTGGTGTAGCAAACGACGAGGGTGTAAGCTTAACTCAAGTGTCATCAATGGATACTTCGTATCTGGACAAGATGGCGTCCTGAGCCTGACAAGGAGGTACAGCCACAAGACTATGCAGGATCGAAGGGATGCCGGCCCTCAAGCTGAGCATGACTGTTAGTCTGGAAATATTCGTTCAGGATACTACTAGCTGAGCACGAGCTGGATCAAAGACTTGTGATACCTGCCTGGTACCCCACGCCGATCTAATTCCTCTATCATGCTAAGCTCACGCACCCCGGTCTTCTCGAAGCTGCTTGCAGAGTATGAACGGACGTAGGTTTCCTGGCTCGAAGCTTGAGCGTATTCTAGGTCGACCCCATAGAGGTGAAGCTGAACTGTCACTCTTGTAAATCTCTTTAGGCTACAAGCCATAAGGTCGTTCGCTGCTAGGTATTCTTCCCGAAGCTTTTGCCTTCCTGTGGGGTCAACACCCAGCACCAGACACCAAACCTCGTATTGGAGTGAGAGAAGCTTCTGGGAACTATGTTCTGCTAGCTGAGCTCGAGGATTTAGACAAAGTAGCTTATTCTTTGACCGCGATGTTACGCTGTTAGTTGCTTGGATTTGACCGCAAGCGTCAATAGGAAATGTTGAGATTTCCGAATAGATCCAAGGGTTCGGCCGGTGTAAGAAGATTTCGGAATCCTGTGACCGACGAGTTAGTTAATGTATTTGAAAATGTAACATCTAGAAACAGCCTAAACAGGAATGCCAAGTCTAGTGTCTTTATTCCTTTACTTTCAAGATTCCGAAGTATCCTCTGCTATAAGGTAATTACTAAGATCCGAAGTTGTTCCCATAGGTAGCGGATGGTATATGCGGCGGCAAATTTGGTAAATTCCAGCAAATCCAGATGATTTTACTGAGTTAGCTGACACAAAGTGGAATGTGGCGGCGAAACCTCACACTTACTCTGGCTACCAAACGGCCAACGGCACAACGCTTCTGGCCGACGCAATGGAACTAAGAATCCCCGTGCCTGAGACTGGATCTGGGTGATCGCCCACACAGAACGCCCGCCGATTGTTGGCACTCAACGTCGCGGCACATTGTCTCAGTTGAGTCTCCGCACAGTGTTCGCGCTACTGGCGCTATTTCTGCTCTGGGTCGAGCTAACTTCTGGAGATGGCTTAATTGCCGAAGTTTATCTTCCAAGGAGGCCAGTCAGCTTTCCCCATTTGGACGACAGCGTTCTGTTTGCCGATAATGGGTATACCTGAAAATCTCGTTATGGTGCCCTTTCCGGGACTTCGGCAATACCTTTTTTCTCGGCTCTAGTGTTCCCAGCGGCACGGCTGCTACGTGTGCCGGGCAGTGCAACCACCAGTCGGATGCTTGAATGACCGGATTCTCGGACGTACTCCACTCAGCCTTGGGAGGATGCAGATATTGAGGAATGATGGAAAGCACAGGGCTTGCTGCTTTCCATTAAAGTTACTAAAGGCAAGCAGCCATCTTAGTGAGATCATATTGTCGTGATGTCAGAAGAAGAATGTGGCGAGCGTCCTATCACTAAGTACTGACACCGGGGCCGGAACCGCTTGATCAATCCACAACTTACACATAAGTCGGCCCGCAAGAGGCTATGATTGTCAGCAATAAGGCCCAATCAATCTTTAACAAAAGCTTCGCGAACTTTACTGCCCAAGTGGACCGCAGTCTCACGATACCCCTGATCACATCAACATGACCTTTTGCGTCGGCGGGATTATGGGTATTGTCTCAAAGTCAGCATACATAGCTAAAATCCGAAATTATAAAATCAGCATGTTCAACACAGGTCCAAGGACCGAATTCCTCATCTGCATGTATCGAAGTTTTACACTTAGTGGACCCTCACGAGACTAGTCTGTATGCGAGCGGTGCGTCCCGTCCTCGCTGGAGCCGCTAGACGATCCAGTCAATCCACCAGAGAGCGGGTATCAAGCCATCTTTCCCCCATGCTTCATTTGTGCTAAGGGGGAGGTTTGGCATGCTCCGGATCTGGGAACTAACGAATAGGGCACGGCATATGTTGTGGGCGATCAAAAACACCTAATCCGGGCACGAGATTAGCGACATTGACGGTCCCTTGGCTGCTACTTCGGAGCCTGCTCCTATTCCGAAGAGCGACGGCACCCCACACGCCCCCCGCACGACCACTCGATCACAAAGACATTGATCCAACTAGCAAGCCTTGTATCTCGTCTGTACATTGCAATCAAGTACATGGTGGTTCATAAACTTTGCTCAGCACCGTCAGCCAGGCCCTTGGCACTCAACTCCCGCGTCATGTTGAACGGGCTCCCTTCAACCCTTGTTTCGGGCTCAAGACATTAACTGATTCCAAAGGATTCACGCCGCGCAAAAAGTTTCCGAGTTCGGTCTCGACTGAGCCGAGTTTCATGTACTTCTTTTGAGTGTATGTACAGATAACTCTAGGTGTTAAGATATTAGATAAGGAACGAAATGTTCTTGGATTAAAGTATGACCAACAGATTAAGAAGCGTGCTTGATTCATGCAGGTACACCGCTCTAACAATTGTCAGAGGCTGTTTTCTACATATCTCATCTTGCAACGACCGGCTTCCTATAACTCTGCTGAATGGAGTTGCCATATCGGCATGCAGCATCAACACCAACTTGTTTTGGTCATTTAGTCATCTCGCCGGTGCTTCCGAGGCGTCAAAGGGTTTGCCTATTTTGACCTAGTCTTTCGAAGAAGAATGCTGACAGGCTAGCGAAACGCTAAGTTTTTCTATAGTCAAGCCTTCAAGCGTGCGAACTAGGGTCATTAGATCCCGGACACTGTACACTCCACTACTATTCAACCGTACACCCTCAATATCTCTCGTTGTCTTTTGCACCAGGTACCATGACAGTCTAGTCAATCGCAGTCACAGTCTGTTCCAGTCTTGTTCCAGATAATAACGTTACCACGCTTATGGGAACTAACGTGCTTTTGGAGCAAGAAGTATTGGCTACCCAACAACCAAACCTGCATAGGGATACGAACTTTGCCTCTCAACCATGGACTTTTGCTTCGTCAGTGTGACTGAGTGACACCCAACTAGAGTCTTGGGACAGGCTGATCACTAATGCCAGACAGCATATAGTTCCATGACGCAAACAGACAACATCTATCGAAGCGACTGAAGGCCTCAGTTTCCAAGAGATGTCTAGGAAGACCGGGAAGGACCTTCTCCGGCCGAGAAACACAGCATGTCTGCTGTTCCTGGTGGCAACGCCTAGCTGGGTTGGCTGATTTGTTTGTTCGCAAGGCAAAAGAACGATCATCATGTTGAACGTTTGCGGAATTCTGCGAGGATGGCGTATCGCATGGAAACATCTTCAATTTGTTCTACACAACGACGAGCAACAACTTTAGATTAAAAGACGACCGTAATCTCTCTCGTAGAAACCTTTACTCAGCCAGAGCATCAACGACATCAAGCTTCCTCTACTGCATCATCAGAAGCTCAAGGTAAGTATCGCAACAGTCGGATTCGCCAGTTACACGACAAGATGAGGTGGAAAATCCCACTGTCTCTCGTCGTCCACTGGACGGGGATTGCCAACGCCGCCGCACTCTCCAGTAACCCACCATGTCCAACAGATGCCAAAGTTGTCATCGAACAGCAACCGTTCGAGATTCAATGTTCCGGGAGCATCTCCCTCTCGACCAGGACTAGGTATGTCATCTATCTCAGACTCTTGGGTCGAAGAGAACAGCATTCCTTAACATCTTGCAGGACCTACACTGAGTGGGTGACCACCACCGATGTTGTCCAGGGTGGGACCACGTCAAAGGCAACGATAGTTTACACCACTTCTAATCCTCCTGGTCTTATTACCGTCACTTCAACCGGCACTCAGACGGGAGCTACAACCATTCCCCCAAATAATCCCGGCGATCCGACCACTATCGTCACCTATGTTCCACCTCTGCCCACCGTCACTTCCCTCGCCAGCACCGCCGGCTTGACTACTGTTCCGCCTGGTCCAAACGGTGGCCCATCGACCGTGGTCACCTTTGCGACAGGCCCTGTCACGGTGACCTCGTCGGCAAAGACTACCGGCCTTACCACAGTTCCTGGTTCAAATGGAGGTCCTCCTACCGTCATCACTTTTGCCACCACCCCGTTGGTTCCAGTGACCGTAACTTCGACCGCTTCAGTCACCGGGTTGACAACTATTCCTCCCGGACCGAACGGAGGCTCGCCTACTATAGTAACCTTCGTGACGCCCCCTGCTGGTCCAGTCACGATCACCTCTTATGCCTCCACGACCGGCTTAATAACTCTGCCTCCTGGCCCGAACGGTGGCCCCCCAACTGTCATTACCTTTGCAACTGGGCCTCCAGGCACAGTAACGATCACGTCTTTTGCGTCAACTACGGGCCTAAGCACCCTTCCGCCCGGTCCTAATGGCGGCCCGACGACTATCATCACTTTTGCTACTACACCCCTAACCCCTGTAACTATCACCCAGACGGCATCCACGACCGGCTTGACAACAGTCCCTCCTGGTCCGAACGGCGGCCCCCCAACTATCATCACGTTCGCTACTATACCGCCTGGTACAGTAACGATCACTTCTACCGCATCGACTACTGGCTTAACGACCGTTCCTCCCGGCCCCAACGGTCCCTTTACTGTCATTACCTTTGCGACTGGGCCTCCGGGCACGGTAACGATCACGTCTTTTGCGTCAACTACGGGCCTAAGCACCCTTCCGCCCGGTCCTAATGGCGGCCCGACGACTATCATCACTTTTGCTACTACACCCCTTACCCCTGTGACTATCACCCAGACGGCCTCCACGACCGGCTTGACAACAGTCCCTCCTGGTCCGAACGGCGGCCCGCCGACGGTCATCACTTTTGCCACGGGACCTCTGCCTCCCGTGACGATCACATCGACAGGATCAACGACCGGCCTGACCACGGTCCCGCCTGGTCCAAATGGCGGTCCTACTACCGTCATTACATTCATTACCGGTCCCCCACCAGTCACCCTCACATCCACTGCGTCGATAACTGGCTTGACTACCCTCCCAGTTGGACCTAACGGCGGACCTCCCACCGTTGTCACATTCGTTACGCCTCCTCCTCAGACCCCCGTGACCATCACCCAGACGGCATCAACCACCGGCTTGACTACTCTTCCCCCGGGCCCTAACGGCGGTCCGCCGACAGTCATTACCTTTGCTACCGGCCCTCCGGGTGTCACTCCTCCCGTCACAGTGACTTCGACCGGAAGTACTACCGGCCTTATCACAATCCCGCCCGGGCCGAACGGTGGCCCCACTACGATCGTTACCTTGGTCACCGGTCCCCCGCCGGTTACGGTAACGTCCTTCGGAAGCACTACCGGATTGACCACTTTACCTCCGGGTCCTAACGGAGGCCCGCCTACTATTGTCACCTTCGCAACCACCACCCCGCCAGTGCCGGTCACAATTACTCAGACTGGCACTACTACTGGGCTCACAACCGTTCCTCCAGGGCCCAACGGTGGACCTCCCACAGTCATCACTTTTGCAACGGGGCCTCCTCCTGTGACTCTCACCCAGACTGCTAGCACAACCGGCCTGACAACGATTCCCCCTGGCCCCAACGGCGGTGTCCCCACAGTCATTACTTTCGTAACCCTTCCTCCATTGACCCCGGTCACCCTCACTCAGACTGCGACCACCACTGGTCTCACGACAATACCTCCTGGACCCAACGGAGGGCCACCAACAGTCATTACATTCGCAACGGGCCCTCCCCCCATTACTATTACTCGAACTGCCAGCACAACTGGTCTCACCACCATTCCCCCTGGCCCGAACGGCGGCGTTCCTACTGTCATCACTTTTGTAACCCTTCCGCCGCTGACTCCAGTGACTGTCACTTCAACTGGTACTACCACAGGTCTCACGACTGTGCCTCCTGGACCTAACGGTGGCCCCCCGACGGTCATCACTATCGTCCCAGGCCCGTCCCCAGTAACTCTCACTCAGACTGCAAGCACTACTGGTTTGACTACCGTTCCTGGCGGTCCCGGTGGTCCCAACACGGTTATCACCTTCGTAACGACCCCGCCCCCGGTAACTCTCACTCAGACCGCCACAACTACCGGCCTTACAACTGTGCCTGGAGGAGCCGGCGGCCCTAACACCGTTATTACCTTCGTCACCGGCACTCCTCCAGTTACCGTCACTCAGACAGCCAGCACGACCGGCCTCACCACTTTGCCTCCGGGGCCCAATGGCGGACCGACTACTGTAGTGACCTTCGTCACTAGCACTCCACCTGTCACTGTGACCCAGACTGCCAGCACTACTGGTCTCACCACGTTGCCTCCCGGCTCCAACGGAGGACCGACTACCGTGGTTACTTTCGTTACTGGCACTCCTCCCGTTACCGTGACTCAAACCGCTAGCACTACCGGCTTGACAACCGTTCCGCCCGGTCCCAATGGGGGTCCCACCACCGTGATCACCTTCGTGATGAGCCCTCCCCCAGTTACTTTGACCTCCACCGCTACTACAACTGGCCTCACAACTTTGCCCCCGGGACCTAATGGAGGACCTCCTACTGTGGTCACTTTCGTGACCACCACCCCACCAGTCACAATCACATCAACCGGCACCAACACTGGCCTGACTACAATCCCTCCTGGAACCGCAGGCGGACCTCCCACTGTGGTGACGCTCGTGACCACTACCCCTCCAGTCACCCTCACATCCACTGGCACAACCACCGGTCTGGTCACGATCCCCCCCGGCCCAAGCGGTGGTCCTCCTACCGTGATCACCATCGTACCTCGCATCGGTATCATTCGGACTTTTACTCAGACCGCCAGCCAGACCGGCGTCACGACTTTATCAAACTCCGATCCCTTCGGCACGACTACCGTCATCACCTTCGTCACGGTGCCTACTGGTGCTCTGACTACTGTCACTTCGACTGGTACCCGAACTGGAGCCACAACCATTATTCCCACGGATCCGGCCGGCACTACTAGTGTCATCACATTCGTCCCGCCAGCGACCGGATTCGTCACGACACTCGTGTCAACAGCAACCCAGACGGGCGTCACCACTTTGCCCCAGACGGACCCCACTGGCACAACAACCGTCATCACTTTTGTCCCTGTGACGGGAGCCATCACAACCCTCGTATCGACGGGTACTCGGACAGGCGTCACAACTTTACCTCAGACGGATCCCTCTGGAACAACAACTGTGATTACCTTCGTTCCCCCCGTGACAGGCGCGGTCACAACTCTCGTATCGACAGGCACGCAGACGGGTGTCACAACCTTACCCCAGACGGATCCATCGGGCACAACAACTGTGATTACCTTCGTTCCCCCCGTGACAGGCGCGATCACGACTCTTGTGTCAACGGGCACGCAGACAGGCGTCACGACCTTGCCCCAGACAGATCCCTCTGGTACAACGACGGTGATTACTTTCGTTCCCCGTATAACAGGCGCGATCACGACTCTTGTGTCAACGGCGAGCCAGACGGGAGTAACGACTTTGCCCCAGACAGACCCTTCCGGCACTACGACCGTCATCACTTTTGTTCCTCCTGTTACGGGCGCAATTACGACTCTTGTCTCTACGGCTACCCAGACGGGCGTTACGACCCTGCCCCAAACGGATCCCGCTGGTACTACTACCGTCATCACTTTTGTTCCTCCTCTTACGGGCGCAATTACAACTCTTGTCTCTACGGCTACCCAGACGGGCGTTACGACCCTGCCCCAAACGGATCCCGCTGGTACTACTACCGTTGTCACTTTTGTCCCTCCCCCAACGGGTGCTATCACGACGATCGTATCAACCGGGACGAGGACGGGCGTAACAACTCTACCTCAAACGAATCCCACTGGTACAACGACCGTTGTCACCTTCGTCCCCCCCGGCGCTTGTGCCACTCCGCCCGTGGATTGTGCCGCATCCGGCCTCACTCTCAAGCTCTACGCAAACTCGGTCCAAGTTGCCGATGGCTATGGAGTCTCAGACGGCCGATCTGGAGTCGGGCCCGATTACTACCTCACTCAGAATGCCCTGGCTCAAGGCAGCACGAACTCAATTTCCGTTCCCTACAAGGATGCGAGCGGCACGACCGTCACGCCCTACACTCCCCAGACATCAGGCTCTTCGACGGGCTTCCGGTACTACGAGGGTCTGACGCAGACGTACGGCGGCATCACGTACAACGCCAACAACTTCACCCTCGTCTTCACCGGATACTTCCGGCCTGATCAGAGCGGAACGTACAACTTCTGCTACGGGTACGCCGACAACCGCGACGCTTTTTACCTTGGAGACGCTGCCTTCGCTTGCGGCAGGCCCGCGAACGCGGATACCCCCAGGGGAGCTACTCCCCTGGCAAAGAGTTGGTTCGCTGCCGACGGAAACACCGGCTGCGCCAGCGTCAACCTCGTCGCGGGGGCCTTCTACCCGGTTCGACAGGTGTTTGGTAACTGGGGTACTCCCTCGTCTCTAAACTTCTTCTTCAACGGACCGGGCCATGCGACGAACTCGTCTGACATCTCGGGGCTTGCCTATCCTGAATCGTGCACCGCAGCCCAGCCCTCCAGCTCGTCAACAACTTCAGCCGCCACGGGCTTCGTCACTACGATCGTGTCGACGGCGACGCAGACCGGCGTGACCACATTGCCCCAAACGAATCCCGGCGGCACGACCACCGTCGTCAGCTTTGTGCCTCCGGCCACGGGTGCCGTGACCACCGTGGTCTCAACCGGAACCCAGACTGGCGTAACTACTCTGCCCCAAACTGACCCGACTGGCACGACTACCGTGGTCTCGTTCGTACCCCCAGTCACTGGCCTCGTAACTACCGTGGTCTCGACAGGTACCCAGACCGGCGTGACTACACTACCCCAAACTGACCCGGCTGGCACGACCACCGTAGTGTCATTCATACCTCCGGTCACTGGTGTCGTAACTACCGTGGTCTCAACCGGAACCCAGACTGGCGTAACTACTCTGCCCCAAACCGACCCTGCTGGCACGACCACCGTGGTCTCGTTCGTACCTCCGACGGGCGCCGTGACGACCGTAATCTCAACCGGAACCCAGACTGGCGTGACGACCTTGCCCCAAACCGACCCGGCCGGCACAACTACCGTAGTCACTTTCACGACGCCCATCACCGGCGCCATAACGACTATCGTTTCAACGGGTACCACGACCGGCGTGACCACCCTCCCCCAGACCAACCCGGCCGGCACAACCACCGTCGTCACTATCACGACGCCCAGCTGCACCCCGGGACTCCGATGGGCCTACTACGGCTTCTCCCGCGCCGCCTCCGACACCGTCAGCACAGCCGGTCGCATCCCCTACCACAACACCGACGACACCTCCAAGGCGAACTGGAAGACCACCTACTTCAACATCCCAACTGTCCTCAATGGCCAGACCCCGAGCAACACGGGCTACACCACGACCATCGGCCTCGCTCAGCAGTGCGACACCACCACCCGCACGGTATACGGTACAACGACAAGCGGCCAGTCCAACTTCATGATCGTCCAGCACATCGGCTACTTCCACCCTCTCACCACCGGCACCTACACTTTCAGCTTCAGCGGCGTTGATGACGGCGTCTATCTCTGGCTCGGCCAGGGAAGTGCCGCAAAGACGGGCTTCACCAACGCGAACGCGCAGAAGAACGTCGATTACTATGACACGAGCAGCTCCGGCACGTACACGTTCGCGGCAACCGCGGGGCAGTACTACCCCATCCGTCTCCTCTTCGTCAACGCTCAGCAGTGTGGTCTGTTCAATTTCTCGCTCACGAACCCCTCCGGTGGCGTCGTCGTCTCCAACACCCAGGCCGTCACGAACAACCAGCTCGTGTTCAGCTGTCCCACCGTCGCAGACGCTCAACCATTCAATTTCTAAGCTTTCTTTTGTCTTTTTTCTTGATAATTTCATATTGGTCTACATTTTATACTCATCTTCCACTTCGTCACCTGGCAACAATATCTTGTTTGGTTCCTGTCTTGTGGCGTCTTCGGGGCCGGAAGATCATACCTCCTCTGTGTAGAAGGGGGATATCATCTCAATGGATATAATCGGGAGTCGCTTCGGACACGGATAATTATGTGGTTGTAATTGATCATGGGCTAGCATTATAAAGATTAGTTTTCTTATTTGCCTACAATAGGGTTTCTCGCAACTTGTCCTCATCTGATGACTGTTTTGAACCACAGTTTTGCTATCTCGTAGCACGTATTGAACACTGCAAGCGAGTATATCAGTCGTGGATATAATACATTTCTTACATGAAGCATATCTTTCCAAAGGTAACTCTCGGTTGATTCTCTACATGGATACTAGACATGATCACACGCCTCTGAGGGCGTTGCCAATCAAATGAGAGGCAAACCGGTTGTCCTGACAGTGACTTCTACTGCGTTCGATCTTTCGAGTAAATTTGATGTGATTAAAAAAGAAGCTCAACTAAAGTACTAATTTCGCTTTCTTCTTGTGGCTGAAAGTGAGAAGTACGTACACGTAAACTAGCTTCAGCCCCGGATCATTCGTTCTCTCACTTGCATGAGGCACAGTGATGAGTTTGACCAAGGTTCCATACATTGCAGTTTGATGAGACTTTATTCAGGCTGCAAAGTAATTATGTTTCGCGGGAGCGAAGAAGCAACAAGTCGGATGAACTGAATAGCATCACCTTGGCACGCTCACAATCCGAGGTCCCACCCGTATTGATTATTTTTCGGCGGACATATTGACGAAGTATTGTCGTAACACAGTGATATCTTTACACCAACAGAAACCGGACTTGTAATGCCCTTGATAATTTTAATCACCATTTTCCGTTGCATTACTAATCTACTACGACGAGTTAGTCGCAGTAAGTTTAAGTAAGTCGGTACTTTGCCGTCTATTAGGATCTATTATCATGACTTGCTCTTCAGGGGTAATACAGGCCAGTCATAATCCCGGACAAAAATCGTCTTAAAATTCCATTCCCCCACACCTACCACCTCCAGTTTCTCTCCCTCTTCGCTCGGTAGCACAACCTCGGCGGTGACACCATGAGGTATACTCAGTCTAACATGCAACATCTCTTTGCCTCCATTGACCACTTTCGTCTCCCAAGAGCACTCGATGAGCCCATGACGACTCATATGAGACGCCGAGGCGTGGGAGAACTCAGCTCCAATAGCTGGAGCAATGCGGCATCTCGTCCACCCTGGCTCGAGTCTCTGAAGACCTGCTATTCTTTCAAACAGGAACTTTGCAATAGCACCGAAGGCATAGTGATTGAAAGAGGTCATCTCGCCTGGATTGATGCTTCCGTCGGGGAGCATAGAATCCCACCTTTCCCAGACCGTTGTAGCCCCCATAGTGATGGGATACAGCCAAGACGGGCATTCTTTTTCCAAAAGCATGCGGTAGGCTACTTGAACATGCCCTGTGATGAACAGTGCCTCGCAGAGGTATGGTGTTCCAGCAAATCCTGTTGCAATCTTGAAGTCATTCTTCTTCACGAGCTCCGCTAGACGTTGGCCGGCCCGAACTTTCTGCGACTCGTCCAGCACATTCAAGCAGATGGCTAAAGCGTATGCTGCCTGGGTGTCTGACACAATCCGCCCATTTTGAGTCACGTATTCTTGATGGAACTGTGCTTTGGCTGCCCTGAACTCTGATTCAAAGTCGACCTTCCTGGTCTCTTCACCAAGGATGCCAGATACACGAGCCATCAGCCGCAGACTCTGGATGAGAAACATGTTGGCGACCATCTTCGCGTCTGTCGGGGATTTCCACGGCGCGTCTGGGGGGGCGGTAGGATCGAGCCAATCCTGTCGAACATCAGTATGACCGCAAAACTTAAATTAGGAGAGCCACGCACGCCGAGCTGAAAGATTGAGTTGTCCCACAAGTGCTTTGCACCAGATTGGTTGCGCGGCAACTTGACCATCCAAGTCAGCATGCTGCCATACTGTTGAGATAGAATGCTGTCGTCTCCAGTCTCTTGATAGAGCGCCCAAGGAGCTAGAATAGTAACATCGTGCCAGATAGCGCAAGGCACTCTTCTACACCATATCGGATCTGGAAGTGTTGCATTCGGACTGACCATCGGCGGCACACCACCCAGAACCTCTTGGTCGTATGCTACATCAATGAGCCAGTTCTTCAGCATTCCATAGCAATCAAATAACAAAGTTGCCGTCGGTGCGAAAAGCGCTAGGTCACCCGACCAACCAAGCCTTTCATCTCGTTGAGGGCAGTCTGTCGGTACAGACAGAAAGTTTCCGCGCATGCCCCAAACAATGTTTTGGTATAGCTTATTCAGGAGGGGGTCGGAGCAGAAGAATGACCCAGCAGCCTTCATATCTGTATGGTAGACTATGGCTTCGACTGATGATATCAAGTCATGATCACTAGTCCACCCATCGATCTGTGCATATCTGAAGCCGTGAAATGTAAATCGAGGTTCATACCCTTCTCCCAACGGGGCACCGCTCAAGATGTACTCATCTACAGCTTTACAGATACGCAGAGGGCGCGTTCCGAGCTCATCGTTCTCTAGCACCTCGGCGTGTGAGAAGGTAATTTTGTGATTTCTGGGTCCTTTGATGTTACGAAACTTGAGACAGCCGACGAGGTTTTGACCAAAGTCGATGATCGTCTTGCCGGAGGGAGTCGTTATTTGGTTGACAGGCCCGACGGCTTGAGTTCTCCGCACCGGCTCGCCATATCCAGCGACCAAAGTGGTCGAAATCGGCAAGAATTCCAGAGTTATCACTTTCTCAAAGCGAAGTCCGTCCGACATGCTGGCGGCCACCCATTTCGACCAATTTGGCAAGTCAAGGGTGGCGTCATACTTCTCTCCGTTGTAGATCTCAGCAAGTATGATGGGACCACGAGCGACCTCCCAGGATCCGTCTGTCGAGATTCTCTGGATAATCCCATCGCCAGAAATGATTTCCAGCTGAGCAATAAGTGCTGTGTGAGGACCCCAGATATTTCGATGACCGCCCTCGAAGCCTATACGCCCAGAAAACCACCCTTCTGCAACACGGACTCCAATGCAGTTCTCAGGCTGATTGCTAGAAAGCAACGAAGTCACATCATACGTCTGATACTGAAGTCTTCCTTCATAAGATGTCCATCCTGGAGCGAGGAAATAGTCGCCAACTCGCTGACCGTTAATTTCTGCCTCGTAAACGCCCTGTGCTGTGACGTACAATCTAGCCTGAAGGGCGGGGAAATTGACTGAGAATTGCTTGCGAAAGAGCTGCTCTGGGTCGGGAGCGACTGTTCCGGGGCCCCAGGGTGCAGCGATGCGCTCACTACTCCAATCTGTACGAGCAAGAAGACCGACCTCAAGGTGCGATGGTTTGCTCCAATCAGTCGCCTTCTCGTCCTGGTCCCAGATTCTGATTCTCACCGAAATCCGCTGACGTGAAGAAAGTGGCTTTCGAAATGGCCACGGCACCAAACTTGATGCAGATGATACACATTTCAGGGTCGATACGACCTTTGAGATAGTAAGAATCGTCTCAGAGAGCTCAATCTCATAGGAAATTTGATGAAAGTCTGTGGAGACTCCCTCGATTTTCCAAGAGAGTCTTGGTGTGGTCTCATGAACTCCAATACAGCCAGAGGCATGATAGTGCTCGAACTGAACAGAGGTAACCGTAGCCATGATGTAAAACTCGCTGTTGTGAATGATGAACTGCGATGGCGTCTTTTCAGAAGTCGGTCTTGATGTGGCCAGCGAGAATGGGTCTCAATAATCCGCAAAGGTCTTGAGCTTGCCCATCGATATGGCTCATCACTCAGCATCTGTAGTATTTCCGACCTAAAATTCTTACAGCCGTAGGCAGCATCTTCTCGGGTTCCTGTTAAGCCCCGAAAGATTGCTGTGTCGGCGCAACATACAGCGACCTCAGCTGGGAACCATCTTTATTGTCTTGTTCTGGTAATTTTCGCCTGGAGCACAGCGGCGGAAAACCAGGCGCAGATCTTCTAGTGACCTAAGTCCAACAGTCTCCACCCGTATTCGTACGTATATCGTATTGATGCCAAGTTACGAGGGTACTTTCAAGCAGGAAGCTTGGTTTTTGACGTGTCAGTTGAGCCCAAGGTGCCTGTCTTGACTGGTCCTCGTTAACCATCCATGCTGAGTTGTGAGCCCCTCCCCGCAGCGAGCTGACCAAGAACAGGAGGATCGCTGTATCATCAGAACAGGCTCGGTGAATGTTGATACGAGTATTTGCTGCAGTATTCTGGTACTTAAATTGTCCCATTAGTCTGATCGAAGACTGCTTGACGCTTGCACCTAGCCCGGCTGGCATTGTCATCATCATTCCGATCTCAACCAGGCTTGTTTTCCAATCATGTCCAAAGAAGCGGCCATGTTCCAGGCTGGAGACCTGGTAGCATACAGTCAGTCAACCGGCCATGATCTCCCACTTGAGGATCTCCGACTTCCGTCAGATTTTGTCTGGGGCACCGCCACTGCCGCCGTCCAGATTGAGGGTGGCATTTCCCAAGATGGAAAAGGGAAGTCGATTTGGGATGTGTACACCCATCTCGAGCCGTCAAGAACAAATGACGAGAATGCCGATGTAGCATGCGACCACTACAACAGGGTAGCCGAAGATGTAGAACTCATGTCCTCCCTCGGCGTTGACGTCTACCGATTTTCTCTGGCCTGGACACGCATAATTCCTCTCGGGGGACGCAATGACCCTATCAACGAAAAAGGTGTCGCTTTCTATGACGATCTCATCAACCGACTCTTGGCAAACAACATCGAGCCTGTGGTGACTCTTTACCATTGGGATCTCCCACAAGAGCTCTACGAAAGGTACAAAGGATTACTCGACACAGCTGAGTATAGAGCTGATTTCCAGAACTACGCCCGGATC